CCCCCCCCCCCCCCCAACCAGCTTGCCAAACACCAGCCGTTTCGGGAGTCGCCCGCCTGGCTGCCTTGCCAATGCTCCCTCGAACAGCAGGCGCCGTTGCCGAACAATAGCTTCCACGCTCCGGCATCGTACCCTCTCACGCCCATGCTGTTCTGCTCCGGTAATTAATCTCCCGGGTGCGGCCGCCATGTTCGTTGACGAGGCCACCTGGGTACTGGAACTCAGCGTCTGGGCATAACTCTGCCCTGCTGCCTCAATGGTCAGCGGTGGCGGCGGGGGGAGTGGTGGTGTTGGCTGCCTCTCCTTGTCGCGCATGAGGAAGGGTCTTCGTCTTCCTCTCCGATACAGTCAGTCCAAACTCCCCGAACATCTCCACGATGACGGTCATCATTCTCGCCAACCTGTCGGCAGATCTCGATTCAACGCCAGCGTCATCGGCATACAGCATCCCCCCTACCGCCCTCCGCACTTGGTCAAGTGATATCCCCTTCCCCGCTCTCATCTCCTCCTCCAGGTACACCAGGTTCTGCGAATAGCATAAATAATCCTCGCTGAATCGAATGACAACGACCTAAGGACAGCGGCGAAGAATATGTTGAACAGCAGTGGGGACAGCACACACTCTTGCCGGAGGCCTTGTGTGAGCCAGAACCAGTCCGAAAGCTCTCCGTCGTCCATGCGCACCCGGGCTCATGATTGCAGGAATTGCTTATTTATAAATGCTCACGATGCATAGACTACATCCAACAGGAGTAGCCGGAATGATATGCCCAATCGACGTTGTGGATGGCGCGTGCAGAGTATTTCTGAAGCTGCTACAACATGCAAACCGCCAAACTCACTGCTGTGTTGTACGTCCTGCGGTGCTGTGCCGCTGTGTCGCTGTGTCGCTGTATCGCTGTGTCGCTGTGCCATTGCTGCTTGGAAGTTGGAACCAGTTGAAACCAGTTGGAACCAGTTGGAACCAGATGGAACCAGTTGGAACCAACCAGTCCACAAGTGCAACGTCCCCCTGTGGTAAAGCAGTAGTGCATGCAAATCGCGGAGCCCCGACAACCGAAAACTGAAAACTGGGTGGCAGGTGCCCGTGGGTGTGTCTGGGTGTATCGAACAGCGAACACACACACAGACGAAGCGGGGTGACACTGGCTGGACCACGCATACAGACGACGAAGAAAGAGACAGAGAGCGAGGAGCATATCTCAACAAAAGAAACGTATCATTCCACATCGCGAGACCAGCGGAGGAGCATGCGCGTCTACCCAGAGCGCGTGTTGCTTCAAGGGATGGAGAGCGAGATATGGAAGCTGGTCTCGTACAGCGCCACACCACAGCAATGGAAGGAATGGCTTCGGGTGCCGCTGAAGCATGCTGCCGCCCGAGGCAATCTGAATCTCGTCAACTCACTGCTCGAGGCTGGTGCGGACGGAAGTGCGGGATGGAAAGGTTGCCGCGGCCGTACTCTATCGATGCAGCCGCTCTCGGTGGAACGAACCTGTTGTGTCGGCCTTGCTGCGAGCAGGTGCTCAACCAGACGTGAACGTCTTGTCTGTGTCGAGCAAGAGATCGGCTCTGTACACGGCGACGGTGTGCGGCCACGAAGACGCAGCCAGGCGCTTGATTACTGCGGGAGCCGACGTGAACTTCGATGACCCTGTGCACTGCAGCCATGTCCTCTACGAGGCAATCTTGGGTGGGCACACACAGCTGTTGACATTGTGTTGGTCGGACCGGATCTGGACTCGCGAGATGAATATGGATGCACTCCCCTCCATGTTGCTGCCATCAGGGGTCTTGATAGGGTCGTGTCTACCCTCTTGCTCAGAAGGGCATTCACGGATGCTCTCGAAAAACGAGGCTCGACGCCACTAATTTAAGCATGCGAGTCTGGCCACCTATCCGTCGTGAACACTCTTTTGACTGCTGGCGCCAATGTCACCATCCGCAGTATTGGCGGCTACTCGGCGCTCGACAAAGCCGTTTTTAATGGCCACATTGACGTCATTGGAACACTTCTCAGACATGGGGCGGACGTGAACCCCTGTGGCAATGACGGCTGGACCCCACTTCACCTTGCTGCTCAAAACGATCGGGCCGCTGCGATTGATGCGTTGATCCAGGCAGGGGCCAACACCGAGGCCGGCCTGGGTGACCGGTTGACGCCCTTGTTTTCAGCAACGGATCGTGGCAACATCAGCGCCATGCGTGCTCTCCCTCGGCGCGGCGCATCCTTGACAGCGCAAGACACGGATGGAGGCACGCCGTTGCACTGGGCGTGCTACTGGCAGGTTAGAGGAGTGGAGGCGACCGTGGATCTCTTGCTGCGATGGGGGGCGGACGAAACAGCCCTGGATAACGATAGCAAGACTCCCGCAGATTTGCTCGATGAGGACGACAATGAGAATGATAGAACAACATGTTCCGAAGCCGAGATCGAGCAGGTGCGGCTGTTGATGGCTCGGGCCCCGGCCAACCGAGCGTGGCGTCGCCGTTGCTGGCTCGTGATGCTGCGCTCTTACGCAAAGACAGCAAGAGCTACCACCGAAGCAACCGGTGATGCAGATGAAGGTTCAAAAGATGCTGGAGACAGGAATGGCGGCAAGTGCAACGGGGCAAGGAGGGAGAATGGGGAGAGCGCTGGTGGTTGGTTACGCTCTCGGATGAACGGGGCGGGCGAAGTGGGAGTCGATATTGGGGCGGCAGGTTTGGCCAGCATTGTGAACTCTGTGGTAGGGCTGGAGCCGGAGGAGGTGTTTCGCTCGATTGTGGGCTTCCTTTGAAGAGAGACGGTGATCGTGTGATCTCTGAGAAGATTGCAGGCACGAACCACTTTGTTGGGTATAGTTGGGGCGGCCGTACGTGTACCAAAGGCTCTGGGCACCGATAAACTGGCCGTGGCCTGTCGACATTACGTACGTACGCTTGATTAGAACGCGTGGCCCGTGATTCGTTCCGATTCCTGTGTTTCGATCAACGCCAACACCAACACCAACACATTTTGCTCTGTTTCTGCATGGCACGGATTTAGTGTTCAGCTTTGCTGCCTGCTTCTCTAGTGTGTACTATGTCGTACAGACAAACCGGCAAATTTGCGACCCTGCAATATGGCCATAGGCCCGCACACCGTAGGCAGCGCCGCCTCGTATCGGCTCCGAGCTACCCTGTATCAAGACCACAACAACAGTGAAGAGTTCCCTCTTGCAGATATTTGTTGGTGTGCAGCAGTCGTGTGCGGCAAGGCTAGGAAGAATTCGACGGCTCCCCAACAAATGAAGCCCTGGTTGGCACGTATTACAATAGTAGTCCTGGAAGGGATAGACACGTGAGTACAAAGCACGGCCTTGTTTGTCTTCGACCATCGGTTGGAAGCCGCTATTGGGCATGAAGCCGAACCATATGCACAACCAGCGGTGTCTCTTGTCGCTATTGTTATGTTTTTTCAGGAGGAGGCCGGCCGCTGAAGCATGGGTCTACCATTGCTAGCCACAAACCCTGAAGTCGGCAGAGCAACCACTGGTCCTCCTATCTTCGGGACCGGCGCGCGAAACAACACGTTTTCGCTTGGTCGTGGTGGCTTACCCACAAGGCCTTGCTAAAAATCTGAGAGTGATGTGTTAGCTGTCGCACTGCGGACTAAACAGGCAAGGGTATGTATCTGTGGACGGGTGAATCACGCAGGAGAAACACTAGGAAAGTCTTGCTTGAACTCAGTCAAGCCAGTGTTCATTGTGTAGCGCCGGGGGTTGGTTCTGGGGTTGGGTAAATGGTTCTTAGACGCCAACGTCAGGTACCCGTCTCGCGGTATGTAGTTGTACGTTTGATGAACGCACGACCATCCCGGACGAGGTGTAAGACAACCGGGATTCCGTGCTGGGAATACAAGAGATACCTCCTATTGTAGGTTATTACTTGCTTGTGTTCAAGTTGTCGCGTTCATTCCGGCACATAATCATATGTTTCCATGAGTCAACGTAAGAGGCGACAGCAACAGTGGTTGTCTGGTTTCTTCGCGGCCATGTTCTCTTTTTCGCGAAAGTCTACCGGCGTGTGAGGCACATCTGCTTGGCCCCAACTGCTGTCTGACCTCCCGCGGCAGGTAAGAATTAACAGTAGAACCATACACACGCAACGATCCCCAAGGGGGCAACGATCCGAGGATTGGACTATTAGCGGTTGGTGAAGCTCTTCTCGCCCCGTCGCTGACTAGGCTAGAGCTGCAAAGCCTGCCCCCACCGTGAAGAAGCCCGACAAGCGCATCCCCACCGCCAAGATTCAGGCCAACACATGACAGTAGGTTGACACAAGAGCGGTACGGCGGGGGGTTAGGCAGGTGGCGGTGGGGGTAGCGCATGCGCTGATGGTGTTCGTTGCCGCCTCGATCCCTGGTGGAAACGAGTTCCATGTAATGAACCACCAAGAAGTTTCGTCCGCAGGAGTCATAGCTAACAACGAAGGTTTAACGCCCCATACCCAGCGTCGAGGTTCACGTATTATAGTTCAATCAAGCATGCCGGTTTAGCTTGAACAAATCAACTCATCTGGCGGAACACTCAACCCTCCCCCACCCCTTTCTTAGATAAACAATGGAATCGCGCACCTCTTCGCACGCCAGTGGAGAATAGAGTATGCTCCCGCCTCAGAGTCGCGTTTGCAGTCTTCGGTCTGGGCATCTTGATGCCCTCTCTCCCGCCGCCCAATCCTCGCTCGTTGCCACCCCCAACCCTCATCCTCGAACTACTGATAAACAAGCCAGGATCTTGTTCGACCCCTCGCCTACTGCCCCCGCGATCACTGAGTCTGGTTCTACTATCGCTACCATCCCCGCCGCTGGTGTTGTGTTCTCGAGAGGGATCAGCCTCACACTCAGACGCACTGTTCAAATTGACGTTGATGCTGCCCATTGCAATTGTGCTGCCAGCGTCTCCCGGAAAGGCTCCCAGGCTTTCGACGCTAGGCATTGGCGTGAGCTCCTTGGGGATTTTGAAACCTCCTCGGTACACAAACTTGCTGGTGTTTTTCTGATGATTCCCTCCCCCGAAACCTCCCACCATTGCGGTGTCTACGAATGGTTCGGGGGTACGCGTTCCATCCTTGTGTTCATGGCGTAGAGTACACGAACAGAGAGAAAATATCGACGGGTGCAGTTGCTCTAACATTTTGCGAAGTTTGTATTGGAATAAAGTAAATATCTTACGGCGGCTCATCATCCAGGCACTTGACCGAGTTACATCGTGTTAGCTAGTATTTTGGCTTCCCCCAGAACATTGCTGCTTTGAGAGAAAGATACCGCATTTCGCTATAGAAGACCACGCCCGTCATTCACTCAACAATATTCGGTCTAAGACTTTACCGTTCTTCAGAATTTAGGAGGAGCTAAGCCCTCGTAGAAAAACATCTGCATATGACGCAACATCAATGCACTTACCGGTGGTGTGGCCGGCATCCGCGGTCGACCCGCCATGGCATCCTTTACGGCCTGCGGCGGTGGTAAAGGTTCCAACGGGGCTGCTCGTGCGTCGCCAAGAGTAGCCTTGACGAGGGACCAAGCGTGCGGAGAAAGCGGAAGTGGAGGGGGGGGGGGGGGGG